TGAATAACCATGGGTCCCAGGATGTTTATACTTTGCAAGTTGCATCCTGAGATGAAAGGCTATACAATGTGTTCAACATAATGACTTTGTTCGACTTTCAATCACAGGGGTGAAATGGTTTAACAACAATTAACAGGGTCTTTTGAACGAATTTTAATCATAAATACTGATATTTTGCCTGTAGCTTTATTTTAGATCACTTTTAAGGTTACAAGTGTGAGTTTTATACCAGGTGAGCGATGCAGGCCCATTGGGCCTCTTGTTTTAAATTCTTATCCTTTGATGACATGACAAGTATTGTATTTCATTTAGTTTACATGCTGATTTCCACATCACATCTAAACAATAAAATAAAGCTACCAGTACCTATGATATAACTCAGGTGACCGCTAAGGCCCTTGGGCCTCTTGTTTAAATGACTGGCAGTATGCTATCACTTTCTTAATCCACAGGGATTTTGTCCTCATTAAACAATGCCATTACATGTATATATGTCCAGTTTTGGTGCTGGTGACCATTTATGAATAACATCTGAGCGCAATCGATAAGTGTCAGCTGTCATGATATTGTTTGGTATCCCTTTCATTTATCATTGTGGAAAGCTTAAAATAAAATGGGTGTGATTTATGATATCCAGTTAATTGCATCAGTGGTAATAAAAACTGATATTTTTCTTTTTCAGGCCTGAACTATGCCTTAATGAGCTAGTTATAAAGAAAAATAAGATCACAATCATGAAGCCAGAAGCTCTGAGATGGTGGGTGAAGGCGATTGGAAGACCACTTTCTCAGTCTCTTTCATCAAAAGCAGGGCCTTCGTGCAGATCTTTTTCCAGTAAACAATGGCAACAAACGGTTTATATGCAAAATAAAATGATACTAGGGCGTTGTGGCAGAAACTTTGCCATCAGAAAGATGTTGCATTCTAGAGGTATAGCAATTACATGTTCAAAGTGTATACAAGATGGTCCATATGCTTACAATAAATTTGGACAAGGCCCTGACAAAGAAAACATAGGAAACAAAAAAAACTTTGGAAAGGCTTGCCTTGGACTGCTGGTTGGAATTGCTTCATTCATCCTGATATCCAATCCGTAAGTAATTAATGTACATTTAAACTAGCCTTTTTATACCAGCATACAGTATACCAGGACATTTTCACTGCCGTTGACTTTTCACCTATTTCACTCTGCCCAAGTTTCCTCTGGCCCTGACACCAGACTTAGACATTTTGACTGGTGTGGGGCCAGAGCACAGTTGTTCATTTACAACTGTCATCTATGTGTGTGAGTATATGTACATTTTTGGATGGCAGAAAAATGCAAATTTGTGTATAAAAATTTGGGTCCAAGCTCCACTAGTATTTTAAAATGAACACCTACAACTGCATTTTTAGCTTGCATGTCCCGAAGGGCCAAGTGAGCTTATGGCATACCGCAGCATCCGTCGTTCGTTGTCTGTTGTCCGTCAACTTTTTACATCTTAATCTTCTTCAAAACTACTTGGCCAATTTTAACCAAACTTAATATGGAACATCACTAGGACATGGGGATATGAATTTTTGAAATTTATGGGGCTACGCTCCCAGGGGCCCGAGGGGTGGGGCCAAATAGGTAAAAAAAAATGGAGTCATCTTTAAAAACCTTCTTCTCTACTCGGCATAGTAATGGCATATTTAATTAAAATCATCAACTAGCCCTCTTTTGAATTTATGGCCCTGGGGTCAAGTGGTAGAGTGGGGTCAATATTGTATGTAATGGATCGTTGTATCTTTGAAACAGCCGAATACCCCACCCCATAACCATATATAGTATTGCTGGGCATCAAGAGATAAACACAATCATGATGTAAAAATAGGCCCTGGGGTTTTTCCCCACCCCTAGGGACTTAGTTTCTGGGTTATATCTTTGAAACTGTTGTGATCCACACCCCATAATCAGATATAGCATTGCTGGGCATCAAGAGATAACACAATCATAATGTAAAAATAGGCTCTGGGGTCTTTCCTCATCCATAGGGATTTAGTTTCTGGGTTATATCTTTGAAACAGTTGAGATCCTCACCCTATAACCATATCTACAATTGCTTGAGTATAAGAAAACAAATAAACATATGCTTCCAGGATGGCCCTGGGGTCTACCCCACCCTTGGAGACTTTACCCCTGGGTCATAACTTTGAAATGAAAAAAGATGCCCACCCCAAAACTTTATATACAAATGCTGTGCATGAGGAGATGAATGCAGTCATGATATTAGAATTGATCCTGGGGTCTGCTCAACCATAGGAACCTAGTTTCTGAGTCACAGCTTGGAAACAGTTGAGATCCTGACCACATAACCATACATAAAATTGCTGGGCATAAAAAATCTAATACAGACATGCTACAAGGATTGGCCTAGGGGTCTGGCCCATTCTCTTGGATCTTATTTGGAGAATATTTTGCCATAATTGCTTAGATATCCAGGTGAGCTATACAGGCCCTCTGGGCCTCTTGTTTTATGTTGTTAACTCTTGGCACAGTTGAGTGTTTAACATTACAGTTAGATCGCCTACCCAACTTTATAGAGAGTTAAGGCCCTTTGTACACTGCATCAGTTTTTAGGAGCATGTTTCACAAAATGTTCTATGCAGCCTAAAATTGCCATAGTTATGACATTTTGTTTATATTCATCACCTTAATTTGATTTAAGGTTCCATGGTTTGTATGCAAAATTTTTGTGATTGACATTTTACTGCTAAGTATACTGATGTCTGCTGTATAAATATTTATCATTTCACCAATAAATCCCAGTTCTGATGCATAACAAGATGAATGACTGATTTTTATATTTTTTTTAAACAATCATGCTTATCATATATAACAGTGATGGACACATGTCCTGTTGTACCATTCTGTTGAGTGAGACTTAAATTTAAAACTGAAATTAATGTACCGGTAATGTATGTTCATTAAGACGATCCAATTACCATACAGGTCAGGAAATGTCAAAAATGTTGAGATAAAAATACAGGGTATTTTGACTGATTTGTTATGTATACTTTTTTGTAACTCTTAATTGATTGGTTTATTGATATTTTAGGAACTATTTTCCATCAGGAAGTGACTGTGTACTACTGGCCACAGTTAATTGATATATAAAACCCAACAATTAAAGTAAAAAAACATATTTTTATTTACTCATCATACTGAAGTTGAAACTTAAATGATCTGGTGTACCTGTATTTAGGATGTCATACTTGAAGACCACAGTTCATGCGTCTACTGGAGAGGTAGAAAAACAGGACTCCGGAGAGTTGCTTGAAGCAAAGGAGGAGGGAGATGAGGAAGAGGGTGCACAGACAGAAAAGAAAAAGAAGAAGAAAATTGGTTTCAGGGACCGCAGGGTAACCATCCTATATGGAGATTTGAATGATTTCACAGTAACTTGTTTAAGACATAGTCACTAATACTGATAACTTGATATACATGTACTTATAGAAAGCTGAAGGGTATGTAAGACTAGATATATAGCATCTCATGTGTAGTTATCTGTTTATCAAGTTGGTATCACCTCATACAATGTGTTACATTTTGCCCTTCTGAAATTAGGGAGATAGAACATGGTCTAGTAACATTGAATATTGTGCTGGAGTGTTCAGTGCAATGTATTAAAACATTATCTCATCAAACCAACAGAAAACATTCAGACATCTATATCTATATACTAGATGTATATTGAGCAACAGATTTCAGAATTTCTATACTCAATGACTGTAATAATTGGTGTAAGGGGAGATAAGTCTCTGAGAAAGTCTCTGCAGCAATATACTTAATGTCATGAAAGTATTGAAACATGAATATAATACTAAACCCCTATTGTGTAAAGTAACTATTCAATACCATCTACTACTACTAGTTAGTATCCTTGCAAAGTTTGTTGAAGTGACTTGCTCATTCTAACATCTGTGATAAAAATAATGTTCAATGTTGCTTTGCAGATAATAGAATATGAAAATCGTATCAGAGCTTACTCCACCCCAGATAAAATATTTCGCTACTTTGCAACATTGAAAGTGCACCAGGAACAAGGTGACTGGGAGGTGTATATGACTCCTGAGGACTTTGTTCGCTCCATCACACCAGGAATGAAGCAGCCAGAGGGTACGGCTAAGTACACTTTCATAACAACAAAATTCTTAGCAACTCGGAACAAAAATATTTCAGAAGTTTTAATTGTACATGGATTGCAGCTGCCTTCTAGTTTTGTGATCGAGGGAATTTTATTTTAGCTCAGTCGGTAGAGCAGAAGGACAAAAGCTGGGGTTACTGGTTCAATCCTTAGTGGCAGTATATATCAAATATTGTATATTTATTTTTTAGCTCACCTGGCACAAAGTGCCAAGTGAGCTTATGCTGTGGCGTGGCGTCCGTCTGTCCTCCATCCGTCCTGCGTCAATATTTTACTTTTAAACGACTTCTTCTTAATAACCGAAAGGCCTAGGGTGTCAATATTTGGCCAGAAGCAAACTTGGATAAAGGGCTACAAAGTTTGTTAAAATTAATGACCTTCACCCATTTTCAAGGTCACAGGGGTCAAATATGTTAAAAACTTTAAACATCTTCTTCTGAATAACCAAAATGCCCAGGGTGATGATATTTAGCCAGTAGCATGCTTGGGTGAAGGGCTACCAAATTTGTTCAAATGAATGACCTTCACCCATATTCAAGGTCACAGGGGTCAAATATGTTAAAAACTTTAAACAACTTCTTATGAATAACCAAAATGCCCAGGGTGATGATATTTAGCCAGTAGCATGCTTGGGTGAAGGGCTACCAAGTTTGTTCAAATGAATGACCTTCACCCATATTCAAGGTCACAGGGGTCAAATATGTTAAAAACTTTAAACAACTTCTTCTGAATAACCAAAATTGACAGAGTGATGATATTTGGCCAATAGCATGCTGAGATGAAAGGCTACAAAGTTTGTTCAAATGAATGACCTTCACCCATATTCAAGGTCACAGGGGTCAAATATGTTAAAAACGTTAAATAACTTCTTCTGAATAACCAAAATGCCCAGGGTGATGATATTAAGTCAGTAGCATACTAGGATCAAGGGCTACCAAGTTTGTTTAAATGTTTGACCTTTGTTTAAATGTTTGACCTTGAATCATATTCAAGGTCACAAGGAGCAAATATGTTCGAAATATTTAAACAACTTGATCTGAATAAGCAAAAGGCTCAGAATGTTGATATTTAGTCAGTAGCATGCTGGGATCAAGGACTACTATGTTTGTTAAAGTGAATGACTTTGACTGATATTCAAAGTCACAGGAGTCAAATTTGTTTAAAATCTTTAAACAACCTCTTCTGAATAACTATGGGTCCCAGGATGTTGATACTTTGCAAATTGCATCCTGAGATTATACAGATTTTAAAACATGAAGGGTTATATATCAAAACAACCTGGAAAGTGCTAAAATATTATTTTTTCATGAAAAATAGTTTCATTACTATAAATATACCAAAATATGAATTTAACTCCTTTTGAACAAAAGAGTAAAACACAGATAGCAATAAACACTAGAAAAAGTGAAAGCATGACTGCTGATGCCTTTTAAGATAGCTGAAGTAACCCTAGGATTGAAGTGTAATAAGATTGCACCATCTTCATAGTTATGATATATCATTTTCACATGTATTACAAGAAGCACATACCTAATATACTTTGTGAGACATGGGGAAACATTTGGGTTAACATTACTGTCTTTTAATGTAATGTTTAACAAATATGATTTCTACATTAAAAGGGGCTTGACTATTTCTGCCGAATCTGTGTATTAACTGGTTGTATTCATTCGTTGATTGTTAAGATAAGAAGCTATGAGTTTTTTTAAATGAAATACGGTATGTGGCATCTCTGTACTGAATCCCAATGCCCAGTCACAGTATTGAATGATAGCTTACATATGTAGGTAACATGATAACAATTTATATCTGACATGTTGTGTATTTCTCTTAGCTTACATATGCAGGTTACATGATAACAATTTATATCGGACATGTTGTGTATTTCTCTTGTCAGGTTTGGGGTTGGACCAGTTCATGAAGTTTGATCCTCAGGTATGTAACTGTAACCCAGAGTCGGTGCAGGTCTGGTGGTTAGATCCAGCTTCTATAGGTTGTTATGGCTGTAAGCACTGATGTCAACAACTCACACTGCCAATCATCTATCACTTTTATATGTATTAGGATACAATTTAGACCAATCAAGACTGAAAATTTCCAGCAAATAAAAATACTGAAACTATTTCTTTGTTTAAATTTGCAGAAGTTAGATCATTTTAATCTGAAAGCCAGAAAAATTATTTCATTTTTGTTTTTTTTATCAAGAAAAAAATAGTGCTTAAACCATGAAGCCAATGTTTTGTAGCGGCTGGGTGCTATGTGTATGGCAGTGTGAGATGCGATATCTATACATTGGTATATAGTGTACTACTAAACAATCTAATCCTGGTAGTTGGCATATTTAACACTTTACATGCAATATCTAGCTACATTGTAGAACTAAGGCTAACAGAATACGGTAATAACTTGATGCAATAGCATAGTGTTTCAAGGGGAAGTTCACCGATACGGGGATAACTTTCTGATAAAGTTGAAAGGGTGTGTCTAGAGTCATAACACATAAGACAAATTGTTTTTCAGAGAAGAAATTATTTTTTTATCAATCAAGACTTTTTTTAGAATGAAAGAACATGTCAACCTCCTAGATTTTCATCAAATAAACCAAATTCCAAATTTTAAAGCTGAAAATAAAAAATAAAAATATCTGACAAGAAAGCTTAAAACGTCTGATTTGAACTTTACCCCAGACCCAGAATGTAATCAAGATTAGAGTTTCTGTCAGTGTGAGAGGCCTTACACGTCATAATTTATGGGTAATTAGAATCTAGCATTCACTATAACACCCTGGGTGGTCAGCGATACATTACGGGAACATGTCACTTCATACTATTTTGCAGTCATCAGGATATTTAAGATAACATGACTTCATTTTTAATGTTATGTATGGTCAGTTGAGGTAAGAAATGATAGTCCGACTCAACTGTCAATAAAATCTTATCTATATGGAAAATCGGCCACTGAGTCAGAGGACAGGAGTGAGGCTTGCTCATTATGTGATCAGCAATCACACTAATACACAACATCCAAGTATTCTGAGCCATAAATGTTGACACATGCATGAGGGATTTGTAAACCATTTTTACAGTTGCACAGCTGAGGTGAAGTGGTCCTTCCAAGGTATTCCGGGGAAAAATCATTATGCAAAGAATATATCTGTAAAATAACATTTTCATTAGACAGACCATTTCTGTATGCATGAGTGGAATGTTTAAGCGGGCAAGGGGTGTCTGTGTTCATGAGAGGGGTTTTGGTCATTAAAACATACAGTTTCTGTATTGATAAGGAAGGTGGTAGTTAGGCAGACATACTGTTTCTGTATACAATAGGAGGATGGCACTTCGTAAACGATACAGACTGATGCTAGAAATCAATGATCAAGTCCATTTTTTTTTAGAGGAGGTTGATATCCCTTGAGTTTTAATTCTAGTAAGATATTTAGGTGTGTACTTAAATATCTATAAACAATGTAGTTATGTTAGGGCTGCCTTTTCACCTGCTTCCCAAATGCAAACTAACTCTAAAGTTTGGATGTTAGAATTATAGTGTATATCTGTAGAAAATTGTAGTGTGAAGTGGTGGAGGGGTGTAGTAGAACTGAGCAGTAGTCCAGCTGCAGGCTATAGCCATGTGTGTACATATTTATACTAGACTTTGATGTTTACTCTCTATCTGTCAACACTGCCTGTAGAAGGACGATGTGCACAGCTTGGTAAGTGGTGATTGGTGACTGTAGCCTACTTACAACTACTAATTATATTGGTTCTTCAAACCTACAATATATTTATACTAACTTATTGCTTTGGTCTTCATTTAAATTTGTTTGCATTTTTTTTATTACAAAGAATTACTTTTTTTACATTTTATGAAGTGTTAATGATGATCCAGTAAATGCTATTCTTAATGTATTAATATATATGTATACATATTATATTGTTACATATTTTCTTCTTTGGACCCTTAGCATATCCAGCTGTAGATAGGAAGCAGTGCCAAGCTTTCAGTTCTTAGATTAGGTTTGCTTATTATTTATATATTTTATAAAATCAATTAAAGACTGCAAATTACACCATTAGATTTTTGCATCACTTTTATGAAAAGTTTGCTGTGACAATCTGTTTCAGGGTAAACTGTTTAATAAGAACTTGGAAAGATTGGGTTACCGGGTAATACAATTTTAAACTAGCAAGAACATTACTAAATCTTTGTTTCCCAAACATACCTCCTTTATTTATATAATACATGTATTTACATAACATCTTTGTGTGTTTTGACTTCCTTTAAACTGATTGTATGTATCAACTGTTTATTTTGTTTGTAGACTCCTGTCATGTTTTTCCACCCTCCAAAATGATAAAATGGAAATGCATTTATACTAGGGATGTAGAAGGCCACTCTCCGTTATAATTGTAAACCAAGATGGCTCTTTCTCCAGATATGCATGCACAGATTAATGACAATGCTAAATATTATCCCATGTAACCATACAGAAGAAATCATCATGAGTGTACCAAATATCAGATGGAAATGTATCACATACCATGGTCTGCCTTTACTAAACGTTTACTGTTTGAACCCTCCAAAACGAAAGTTGTGTGCATAATATAAAAGTAAATGGTTTGTTTATTTGTCAGTGTACACGTCCCTTAATACCTTGTCTGTAATATTCCTATTTTTTCCCAGAGCTGAACATTTCCTGACTTAAAAAATACGTTTATCACAACAAGATAATGATGCTTCGTACCAAAAAAGTCAACATCAGATATAAAGGTCTATGTCAAGGTCATAGCGAGGTGCCGAATGTTGAATAATTGCTATGTTTGTCCAAAGCATAATAACTTGTCACCTTTCTCACGAGATTCATTGAGATATGTTTTAGCATTGGACACTGTGACAGTGTTATGGAATACTCTAAGAATTGTACATGAATGGTCAAGGTCATGACAAGGGGCTAGGTGGGAGGTATAGCTATCTCACTTTGCTTTTATTTCAATTGTCAAAAGTCAATGAATCAATCTTGGAAGACATGTTGAAACTATATTATCGCATATTTGTATACATCTTGCTCCCCCTCAACAATACAAAAAGACAAAACAAGAAAAAGATCTTAAGTTTCTGTTATAACATAACAATTTCCTTGTAAAAGCCCAGAGAGTCTGAACTCTTGTTGCAAAGGACTAGTAAGTTACTGTTGTTGTGTAGGACAATGCATTATTGATCCTAAAAACAGTTTGTATAGTTAAGTCGTAGTAAGACGAGCAGGTCTGTGTTGAGCTTCTATATAAAATGTATTTGAATAAGATGATACATGGACTCACTTGTTGTTCTGTTTTGTTGATTTGTCTAGGGGTCAAAGGTGAGTTGTTAACTGTGTTGGTGATCCTATACTAAAGTCAGAACTGAGTGGTAACATGGCTAACCTAGGTGTTGCAGTCTATTGTCAATCTCACTCTTTGGTTTTTTTACTGGTGAACTTTTTTTAAATTTCTTACAGCATTTATCTCATCAAATTGTTTACAAGTGCAATTTCCATTATTTTATTCAAAATTACTTTCATCATGTATTTTTCTCTTACATGTAAAATAAGAAATATTATATCTCTAAAGAGTATGAGATAATGTTTGGTTTTACATGGACTTCAGATGTCATTGGTTTATATAGTTGACATGGTTTTCAGCACACAAAATGGATTTTTTACCAGAATGATCCTTCATTGCAAGTCTTAATATTAATTTGTCATCCTCCTGTCAAATCCCTTGACATATAACATCTTTAATTTTGAGTATAAAACAATTGAAGAGTAGTTAAAGAGTTAACATCTTTTCTTAATTCTTTTTCCATCATTAAAAGTTAGCTAATCTAGAGCAACAGAACCTGTTGTGACAGACATATTTGTTCTTAAAACACAAAATTACAGGTAGTCATATTAGAGATAGAAAGAATAAAAACAATGTGAGCCCTTTGACACATACCAGCAGTACTTGAACTTAGCACACAATGCAGGGGCCCATCAGGAACACTATCCGAGACCCACCATGACTGTCACATCCTTTACACACCTGACCGTCTCCCACCGGCCTACCTTCTTTAATTTCCTTACTCTGGTTTGACCAACTTTACTTATGTTGCTACATCCCAAAATGACAACATGTAATGTAGATGGGATTGGGATGGGGGGGGAGGGGGGGGTACATTTTTGTTATTCTATACTGTTGTAATGCTTTTAGACTGCACTGTTAGTCACAAATCTTTATATCCTGGAATGACAGATTTTTTACTGAAGCGACAGGTTAATTACAGTATTAAGAATAGATTTTCTTCCAAGAACGACTATTTGGTTCACCCTGTCTTTTATTTTTAAATAAGCAACAGTTAACCAAAATGAAGTGGCTGATTATCAGAAATGTACCAATACCTGCTTTTTATACCTGCCAATGGTTATTTATGTTTCAAAGTATCTGTCATTCCTTAGTTTTTTCTTTCCTTGTTGCATGCCTGCACATTTTTTAAACATGTTTATTAGAAACTTGTAGCGTCATTTCAAAATGGTTGACAAGTAGTTGAGTGGCAAAGTGGTTAGCACTCTCACCCTTCCTAGATCTGATGTGAAAAGGTATGGGACCATGCATGGATTATCTCCAATTTTCCAGTTTCCTCCAATATATAAAACAGCTGCATGCTTTTATCTGGGCAAACAAAATTCTTTCATCATTGTTGTAAAATAAATTAAGTTAAATTATTTTTTTTGTTCCTCTAGCAAATTCATATTCTGTCAATATATGTCATTTAAAAACAATCCCAAATAACATTCATGTGAAATCTAACTTATGTACAGTTATTGGAAGATATCGATCATCATCCATCTCGGTCCATCATCATTGATTTTCGGTATTTAAATCTATAGTAAAAAAAAAAATGTCCATCATTTATGATACATGTATTATAAATATTAAGGAATTTAGAAATGTAAATATATTGTTAGTTTGTTAATGATATTTTGCTTCTTTTGTCTCTCATACTGTTTAAAATTCAATTTATTTTGTAACTTAGAGTTTTAAGCCATTGCTGAAGCATTGCAGTACTTTTTCCATTGACGTGTGGTGATACAGAGTTTTGTCCCTTTTTTATTTGCTGTGGACCCTCCTAAATTTGGCTACCTGTTACTCCCCACAGTTACCCTTTATGAATTCCCAATCTGCCATTGATCACACCCCCTCAGATGCATTACATCTAACTTTCCTCATTAGAATCACTTTCATACTCCCTGTCCTAAACCTGCCCACCACACTTTGATGTTTTATCTATCACCTTCAAACACTACATCTGGGCAACAGACTTAACAATACCATTATTTCTGACTTTCCCCAAACACTAACACTTTAGGTTACAATATTACAGTCCAGACACTTGTCTGTATTAGCTGCCCAAAGACAACACAACAATCCTTCCCTGGACACAGCTCACTCAGGACTATCTAATATTATCATAAACCACTACAATCCTCCCTTCACCACATGACCTTAGCTGGTAATAGGATGTAAAACCAAGAACAAACCAAACCAATCCTCCCTCTAACACTTGTTTTTAGACTTTTTGACACTTACCACTTCTATCTTCCCTTTGTCACTTGGCTCTGTAGACTATTTGACACTTGCCACTTCTCTCCTCACTTGGACACTTAAATTTGAAGACTATCTGACACTTACCACTATATCCTCCTTAAACACTTGGCACTGTAGACTATTTGACACTTACCACTTGTATCTTCCATTTGACACTTGGCTTTATAGACTTTTTGACACTTACCACTTCTAAACCCCTTTTGACACCTGGCTTTGTAGACTATTTGACACTTACCACTTCTAAACCCCCTTTTGACAATTGGCTTTGTAGACTATTTGACACTTACCACTGCTAACTTCCATTTGACACTTGGCTTTGTAGACTATTTGGCACTAGCCGGTACTTTCTTCATTGGACACTCTGCTTTGTAGACTATTTGACACCAGCCAGTACATTCTTCATTGGACACTTGGCTTTGTAGACTATTTGGCACTAGCCGGTACTTTCTTCATTGGACACTCTGCTTTGTAGACTATTTGACACTATCCAGCACATCATTCATTGGACACTTGGCTTTGTAGACTATTTGGCAGTAGCTAGTACATCCTTCATTGGACACTTGGCTTTGTAGACTATTTGACACTAGCCAGTACATCCTTCATTGGACCCTCTGCTTTGTAGACTATTTGACACTAGCCAGTACATCCTTTCATTGGACACTTGGCTTTGTAGACTATTTGACCCTATCCAGTACATCCTTCATTGGACACTTGGCTTTGTAGACTATTTGGCAGTAGCTAGTACATCCTTCATTGGACACTTGGCTTTGTAGACTATTTGGCACTAGCCGGTACTTTCTTCATTGGACACTCTGCTTTGTAGACTATTTGACACTAGCCAGTACATTCTTCATTGGACGCTCTGCTTTGTAGACTATTTGACACTAGTCAGTACATCTTTCATTGGACACTTGGCTTTGTAAACTATTTGACACTAGCCAGTACATCCTTCATTGGACACTTGGCTTTGTAGACTATTTGACACTAGCCAGTACATATTCTTCATTTCACACTTGGCTTTGTAGACTATTTGGCACTATCCAATACATCATTCATTGGACACTTGACTTTGTAGACTATTTGGCACTAGCCAGTACATTCTTCATTTGACACTTGGCTTTGTAGGCTATTTGGCACTAGCCAGTACATTCTTCATTTGACACTTGGCTTTGTAGACTATTTGACACTAGCCAGTACATTCTTCATTTCACACTTGGCTTTGTAGACTATTTGGCACTATCCAATACATCCTTCATTGGACACTTGACTTTGTAGACTATTTGACACTAGCCAGTACATTCTTCATGGGATACTCTGCTTTGTAGACTATTTGACACTAGCCAGTACATCCTTCATTGGACACTTGGCTTTGTAGACTATTTGACCCTAGCCAGTACATTCTTCATTGGACCCTCTGCTTTGTAGACTATTTGACACTAGCCAGTACATCATTCATTGGACACTCTGCTTTGTAGACTATTTGACACTAGCCAGGACATCCTTCATTGGACATTCTGCTTTGTAGACTATTTGACACTAGCCAGCACATCCTTCATTGGCCACTTGGCTTTGTAGACTATTTGACACCAGCCAGGACATCCTTCATTGGACATTCTGCTTTGTAGACTATTTGCCACTAGCCAGCACATCCTTCATTGGATACTTGGCTTTGTAGACTATTTGACACTATCCAGCACATTCTTCATTGGATACTTGTCTTTGTAGACTATTTGACACTATCCAGCACATCATTCATTGGACACTTGGCTTTGTAGACTATTTGGCTCTAGCCAGTACATTCTTCATTGGACACATGACTTTGTAGACTATTTGGCACTAGCCAGTACATCCTTCATTGGACACTCTGCTTTGTAGATTATTTGACACTAGCCAGTACATCATTCTTTGGACACTTGGCTTGGTAGACTATTTGACACTAGCCAGTACATGCTTTTTTGGACACTCTGCTTTGTAGACTATTTGCCACTAGCCAGTACATTCTTTTTTGGACCCTCTGCTTTGTAGACTATTTGACACCAGCCAGTACATTCTTCATTGGACACTTGGCTATGTAGACTATTTGACACTAGCCAGTACAACCTTCATTGAACACTTGGCTTTGTAGACTATTTGACACTAGCAAGCACATCCTTCATTGGACACTTGGCTTTGTAGCCTATTTGAAACTAGCCAGTACATCATTCATTGGACACTCTGCTTTGTAGATTATTTGACACTAGCCAGTACATTCTTCATGGGATACTCTGCTTTGTAGACTATTTGACACTAGCGAGTACATTCTTCATTGGACACTTGGCTTTGTAGACTGTCTGATGCTTATTATTTCTTACATCCCTTCCCTCTCTAGATGACCAATACACAACCTCTGCTACCCTCCCTAGGAAACACTATTTGACACTAGCCAGTACATTCTTTGTAGACTATTTGGCACTAGCCAGTACATTCTTCATTGGACGCTCTGCTTTGTAGACTATTTGACACCAGCCAGTACATTCTTCATTGGACACTTGGCTTTGTAGCCTATTTGAAACTAGCCAGTACATCATTCATTGGACACTCTACTTTGTAGACTATTTGACACTAGCCAGTACATCATTAATTGGACACTTGGCTTTGTAGACTATTTGACTCTAGCCAGTACATCATTCATTGGACACTTGGCTTTGTAGACTATCTGATGGTTATTATTTCTTACATCCCTTCCCTCTCTAGATGACCAATACACAACCTCTGCTACCCTCCCTAGGAAACACTATTTGACACTAGCCAGTACATTCTTCATGGGATACTCTGCTTTGTAGACTATTTGACACTAGCCAGCGCATCCTTCATTGGACACTTAGACTATTTGACACTAGCCAGTACATCCTTCATTGAACACTTGGCTTTGTAGACTATTTGACTCTAGCCAGGACATCCTTCATTGGACATTCTGCTTTGTAGACTATTTGACACTAGCCAGTACATCCTTCATTGGACACTTGGCTTTGTAGACTATCTGATGCTTATTATTTCTTACATCCCTTCCCTCTCTAGATGACCAATACACAAACCTCTGCTACCCTCCCTAGGAAACTGACCTCGGTAGACTAACCCCAGATGGTGAGTCCCGCTGCGCTGAACACAATCCTCCCTTGGGTATTTGGCTCTATATATAACCAAATACCCATTGATACCCTTGACATCATATCTCTATTCTTTCCCCATCAGATACAGTCTGTCAATAGTACGTTCACTTTTACACTGTCCCAAGTACTAATTCTTGACAATACACTCTTACTGAAGTCCAATAAACATACCTGGTAGACTCAAATTAAAATACAACCTATTACTACTATCCCTGACAATATACACTACTACTGTAGTGAAATAAACACAGACTCCAATAGTACCATTAAATTATAACCCTATTACTTCTCATGACAAGACATTCCTACTGTAATCCTATAGACACAGACCTCCAAGTAGTTATATAACAGATACCTTGAAATCGTACCATTAAATGAGAACCCTATTACTCCTCCTGATATGAAACTCCCACTGTGGTCCTATAGACAGAGACCTCAAAAATACCAATTAATTACAACCCTTTCACTACCCATGACACTACACTTCATCTGTAGTCCTTATAAACACAGACCTTGAAATAGTACTATTAAATTATAATTTAATACTACATGTACCGATGACATATCCCTTTTCCTATCCATTGTTAGGCTTAAATATCATCCACTAATCATGCCAGTATTTCGGCATTACCCATTACAGTACCTCTTGGCGTTATACACAAGAAGCAGAATTACTGGAATGCAATTATCCAAACTTTCAATTGTTTGACTCTTGGTCTTGTCCAAAAACAAATGACTTGCTTGAAGGTTTGTGACTGGTTATCCAAACTACCATTTATCAGAACATCAATATCAATATGTCACGTTTCTGGTTTGGATGATTGTTTGTTATTGATGCCTTTGCCCTTCGGAAACCTTCCCTGACAAAACATGTTACACAGAGGTCTTTTAACTGTTTGATGTTTGTTCATTTTGTCCACTGTGTGAACGAGCCGTTCACAGTTGTCCATAAAATGGTGAAAGCCATGTTTATACTGATCTTTCAATGTTTGTGCGTTGCCATAATACAAGTTAAAACCCTTTGTGATCAACATTTCCTTCACTTAAAATTCTAACCTGCAGTGTTCACATCAAGTTTGACAGAGTTAGTGTTATTGTTGTAATTCGACTAATTTATTTATGAGAGAAATGAATGCAAAGAAATTGTCTGTGGTCTGTGGTCCTATTTCATTAATGATTCAATTTTGCTGAAAGTTTATTTTATCAGACTTGTGTAATTAAAACATAAGACTTACTTTTTCAACTGTTGAAATCATATGATATACCATCACTATATCAGGACCGATATTGAACATTACAAATGCTTCCTAGAAACTCAAAGATTACTCGATTGTCTGGTTCAGGTTCACATGTTTGTTTGAACCCCTTATTCATACCTGTTTGATGTATCCAGCACAACAAAGCTGAGTGGAAGATGGGAGAAGATAGCATCTTCTACCAGCTGGGCGAGAGTGGCCTCATCTCCTTCTCCGACTACATCTTCCTCCTCACTGTGCTCTCCAGTGAGTACTGTATTACTTCTGCTTATGGATTTCCATGATAGATCAGTAAAAAGGATGTTGAAGGAAAAAAGATATTGGGTGCCTTTATATAGAGATAGACGCTTATTATAAGGTTAATTGTCAATCAAATTAAAATTATATCTTCACATCTCTACCGTTTACCGATATGTCGCATGACAAGGTTCAAACATCAGTTTTCTTTTTAAAGGAAATAGCTTCATTATGAATGTATTCTTTGCTGATGTAGAGTGCCTTAGATATGTTAGTATTCTCTTGATCATTCCAGCACCACCAAGGAATTTCCAAATTGCTTTCCGCATGTTCGATCTTGATGGAGACGGCAATGTGGATGTTGAAGAATTTCGCAAGGTTAATATAATTTGCGTATATCCTTGTCAAGAAGCTACTTGCAAGATTCCTTTCTTTCACAGATTGATCATCATGATAGTAAAGGTTCTAACACTGGGTGTCAGTTTATCATTATCTTTAATACCTCCAATTGGGATTAAACCAAGCACCTTTGGCTTATAGTCTGACACTCTACCTATGGAGCTTACTAGTAACAGGAATTCTACAAAACTGAGTATCAAGAAAACAGCAAATATTTTACCATGGTGAATCGTATATGCAATTATAAGACAACGTCAACTGTAAAGCTACATCAGATTTGATAACTTCTCCATCTGATATCACTTCTCACCACAATACCATGGGTATGTGTAAATCACATATATGACTTTGTGTATGTCATTATGTATATCCAGGTTCATCAGATAATCCGCAACCAGACTAGCATAGGCATGCGCCACCGTGACCATGCTGTCACTGGAAATGTTATGAAGGGTGTGAGTTCAGCGTTGGTCACCTACTTTTTTGGACAAGAGGGAAAGAAGAAGCTGACTGTACCAGTGTTCCTTACCTTCCAGCAACAGGTCCAGAATGAAGTGCTCAGAATTGAGGTAAAATTGTCATGGTTGAACTCCTCATTAGCATAATATATTGGAACAAAATCTGTTAATGCATGTAATTATGGACACTGACATACATTTATTTGCATGTCAGTGTCCATGCAATAAATTTGAATTTTTAACTTTGACATGTATTTGATTAAATTTCGTTTTTGAAATTGACTTTTAAAGACATGTTTGCACAATATTATCAAAATTTCATAATTTCTGTGTTTTTAGTTTGACCGTTATGACCCTGACGATGGAAAGATCACGGAAAAAGATTTTGGAAGAATTCTACTAACATATGCTGGATATCCAGACAAGAAAAAGACTCGCATGCTGAAAAGGGTCATTAAGAAGTTCAAAGAGGAACCGCAGGTACAAAATCACTGCATCAATTCATTTATTAATTCAGTGACCAGCCATGGTCTGTCCAGGTGTTAAGTCAAGTCTTACGATCATTTTATTCTGAAAAATATAATGAAAAATTTGAAATGATGTTTTGTTACCCATTAGATAAACCATTTAAAATGTTAAGTCTGTTTACACATAATCTTCTCATCATGATAAGTTGTTGGCAGCTTAGATAACCTTCGCTTGTTGAATCATGTATTTAGCCAATTGCAAATATGCAATGATAAAGATTTATCCTATGGTTACATGTTCAACTAATACTGGTACGGTCTTCGCCCCTGGCTCAACCCTTTACATAGAGAGCACAGCTATTTTAAACTGTCACTAATTGCTTATGACAAGCCCCCAGGAAATTATATGGTATTTCCAAACTAAGTACCTAATGACAGACTAGATATAAGTAACTAAAGAAGAACAAGAAAGCATAGGATAAGTTTATGCCCACCTTTACAGGTACCGTTTACCAATATCAAATTATACAGAGACGGATACAACAATTCTACAGACTCTCCAAATTCTCTCATAAATATGATGTACAATAAATTTAGACCTATGTCTGAACCCTGGATACCAGAACTATTTGATAAATATAGGGGACAAAACAAGTCTATTTTTCTCTTACCCTGGATAGGTGTATCCACACTTTTACCGGTGTGTCCTTGTCTCACCCTAGGGTTGAGATAGGGGGATTCTCCTATTCATAACAATGGCATGATGTCACTTCAACAATACAATGACGTCACGTCAACAATCCATCAATGTCACGTCAACCCTGAATTTGGCATGTAACGTTATCATTACATTGTGTATATGATACACAATGGGAGAATAGGGTAAGAGAAAAAGAATCATTCACCCCCTTGTAGATAAGATAGGGAAATCTCAACCCTCGGGGAAAGATTCTTAAGTCGGCAAAGCCTTGTGTTTGGCAACTTAAGAATCTTCCCCCTCGGCTTGAGATTCTCCTATCTCTTCCCCAAGGGGGTGAAAGATTCTATTAATCCCTAATGTAGTTTTGATAACAACAGAAATGAACCAAGTGCCAATGAATATCAATAGAAATTGCAATATGCAATGAATACTGTAATATACCAACTCTATATGAAATATAGTAGGATTAGCAAATGGATAAGATATAGATCTAGAAATGATTTAACTCGAACTCAACTGTCTGAAGCACCAAAAGTACCACAAAAAGCATGCTAAGATAGACAAAGATACTATCTTCAATTAATGTAAATATTACTAAAATCCCCCGTCCATCCCCATATCCTTATCATATCCTTATCTACGAGTTGCTTCCCTTAACCTATAAACTAAACATACTGACAACTACACAGTTTTGAAACGATCAAAAGATATAGAAGCTGCCAGCAGCTCATAAACCAACCTTACACCCTTAGAATGTCCATTCTTAGTTGCATCTCAATTTTCTACCGATTTAAATAAGTGTTTTCTTTTTCAACAGGGTATCACATTTGAGGAGTACACCAATTTCTGGCGTTTCCTAAAGAGCATCAATGATGTTGACACTGCTCTAAGTTTCTACCACCTGGCTGGTGTCTCTATTGATGAAGGTATGACATCATTCCATTAATACATTCCCTCTTGGTTGAACAGGTTTATTATAGAAGGACAATTAAATTAAATTTCTATAAATCTTGTTCTCTTATCCATTAATTGTTTGAACAAGGTTTTTCATGAACCCCAGATTTAGTTCATATTTTCACCAAAGTATGGTTACATTAAGATCTAAACCCGATTAGATTTTTGTGGTCAACGGTCACAGTGAAAGAGTCAAAGGTCACACCAGACTACTATTGAAGTAAAATGTTTGTGAACAAGATATCTCACAAGCCCCCTTTAGCAGATTTGGCTTATATTTACATCATTGTATGGTAGTATTGCCAAATTGGATTACCACTTAAATAGTAAAAAGCCTTTGCAAAAGATATCCTGCCAGCCCTAATATAAATTTCATTTACAATACGCACATGCACATTATTTTCACCATGGTATGGAAACATTAAGTTTTACACCTACTGGATTTTGATGGTCATTTGATAGGACAAAGGTCAAACTTGACCACTCTGAAATAAAATCCTCATGTGGGTAGTTATCATGATATGGTTGTATATCAATATTTTTTGCTTTTAATTCTAATTAAATATTTCTTTACAGAGACACTGAAGCATGTGGCCAAGACAGTAGCACATGTTCATCTGACAGATCATGTGGTTAATGTGGTGTTCACACTCTTTGATGAAAACAGTAAGTGTTGTTAACTGGAAAAAAAATCTGAGGGCAATCAATCACACAGCTTAATAGTGAGAAGATCTGCCTCTACATGGCCAAAGCCCCCCCCCC